TAGAGAATGTCCACTTAATATCGTCCCCAACTGTATTCTGATAATAATAATCATGATTACTGATTGCTAATTATTATTATTATAAACTCTACTACTAACGATAGTGATAGAATTTCTTCGAGATGTGAAAGCTCAAAGAAAATGAAATTGTGTGGTCGAATATTAATTCCACTTTGAATTGCTTCCACTTAATATTATTCCCGACTGCACAGACTTATACATAGCAAGGCTAGTATAAGTTTCCATGTGACCCGGCCGCTAAACTCGATTCGAAAACCGCGAAACTGGTTCGTGGGTTATCGATACCCGATGAAATATCGATTTTTCCCGGAACAGTCATCCTTACCGAGAACAATACGTACTCGACGTCTGGTTTATGACATATTATCCTATTCAGATCGCGGCAGGGCGCACCGCGACGCATTGTGCGAACGCACGCGTTTACAAAGAGGCCCACTTTTCCATTCCCATAATTCCCAGCGAAGAGAGGAATAAATAAATAAAAAAAAATACATCGAAGGTAGCTCGTACCTGATATACTGGATGTATCCGTGTCTGGCGTCTTCGAGCAGGAACCCCGGGTTCCGCATCTCGACGCTCTCGAATACCATCAAGTCAAACGCATGCCACGGGCCAGGAGGTGATCCGTAAACTTGTCTCGCTAGCACGAGTCACGATGATTCGATCACTCGGATCTAGAGAACACTGCACCCGCGGATCCGTGCACAGACCCGGTGCGACGAGGAAATCGCACCATGCCCGATAATTTCCGCGTTTTACCAAGAACCGTTCGTCAGTACAAAAAAACACCGAAATAAACACGTGAAAATTCGACAGAACGAGATTGAAGCAACGCGTGACCGGCAGAAGGAACGTGAAAGATACTCCCTCGATCCGACGTACGCGAGGCAACGGAGGCAACTGAAGTGCGAAACGAAACGTGGAACAGTGGGAGTCCGGTTCCCCTTCCAAACGACTGCCCCCACCGCGCCAGCCCCGAACGACCCTACCCTAACCTAGCCGGACCGAAACGCGACTCGGTCGATCGTGGAAAGCGTGGAAGTATGGAAAACGGAGGGAAGGACGCACTCCATGGCACCATAACACATTTCCGTCCTCTGTTTACGATTCTATCTGTGTACAATGCGTTGACGCACGCGCCATACATTCGAATGTCTAGCTACTATCCCTTATCTGGTACTTCGGTCCTTATCACGATCCGGGATGAATCGAGATGTCCTGGCAAGTTGAGAACAAAGCTTGCGAAATGTAGATAAGGAGGGACACTCGAAGGGAGACAGGAATTATGTATCGCTCGGATTTGTTACACGATGGAAGAACGTGATTTACTTTCTTCTCCGCACCCTCCTTGGGGTGCATTCGTAGGGCAGAAAGCAGACAGACTCAGCATTTAATTTAGTGAAAACTAGAAAATAAATACGATCATATGCAACATGATATTAAATATAGTTTTAATATTTAATTAAAACTATTTATATTTAATTTTTAATTATTTAATTTAAATTTAATATTTAATTAAAACTATTTGATAATAAAAATCAAACATCTATCAAAAACTAATAAGCATATCATCATTTTCTAACAAAAAAATTGTTTGATATATGAGACGTTTGTTTGGAATTGTGATATGGAATATAATATCAAATATGGTTTAGTTATTTTAAAATTTCATTAAAATGATGATTTTAGACAATCAAATACATTTATCAACAACTAATAACTATATCACAATTTATTAACGAAAAAATTGAACGTTTTCTTAGAAAATCCATGCATTTGCAAAAGTTCTCATCGCAAAACACCTTGTCGGTCGAACTATGTAAACTGTAAAGAGTAGAGACCAAACAATCCTAAGTTTCCTAAGAACTGATCACACAAAACTAATCCATGGCCATCTGATATCGCGTGACAATTCGAACAAATGCATTTACTGTAATGTAGATATAACAATTTGAAATATTCTTCAGAACTGCCCATCGCTAAGTAACGCAATAAATTCATTTAAGATATCAACAAATCTGAAGAAAGCACTTAAACTATAATCACTCAACTACAATGATTTCGTTTATCAACGAGATTTGACTCAGCAATCTTATTTAAAGTTCTGTAACAAGTAATATCCACGTCACTATTATAATACTAGAATTACTATTACGTCATATTATTTAATCAAACGTTATTCAATCAAATTTTTATCAAAACGTGTATCATCGATTTGTGGCGTTTCTGTGCTCGCGAATACAAAGGAAGACCTTGAAGATTTTCTGTCATGCGTTTCACCCTCGAGGAAACACCAGTCTGGAGATCTCACGGATATACACGCGGCTAGCCTTTTTTTCCTTCTTCTACGTGCATATCCCATTCACGATCACAATAGTGCGTATTTACCGAGGTGCAAACTGCACCGGCTGCATTCTACTGTTCTCCCTTTTTCTAATATTACCGGCAGCCGGAGAGCCGCCAAAAACGTTCACCAGCCGATGAGCAGAGACAAAGGAAAGGAGAACTCGTCTGATCGTTAACTCGATCGCTAATCCGCTCACCCGCGCCACCGCCGCCGCCGTCGCGTCGTCTACTGCGTTTCCCTCTTTTCGATCCCCTTGTGCAACCCTTTTTGCTCTTTCCACGCACAAAGCGGCGTAATCGATGATCGCTTGTTCTCTACACAGTTTCGTGGCTGATCATGAACTCTAATCGTCAGAGAATTATTAACGAAACGATGCGTAGAAT